CCCCAAAACCCCAAAACCCCAAAACCCCAAAACCCCTACTATTTAAGCCTTAATTGAAGAATTTTGATAGATCCGAAATATGGAGGAAATGGATGTAGATATGGAAATTGAGCTTCCTGACGAAATACAGACGCAGGAGGATGACAATATCCCAAAATATGATTACCTCATTGCTCAAAAGAGATATAAAGACTCATTTCAGCTTCAAATGAGAAGAGAGAAGAAGAAAAAGAAGATGCCATGTCCAAATTTGAGTAATACTTGAATGATTTCAAAGAACTTTGAAAACATCACAAGTGAATTTGTTAAAAATCTTCAAGAAGAAGAAACTGAGCAGATGATTATAAAACAAGTAGAGTTCTACCTCTCTGATGAGAATTTATGCCATGATCTTTATCTAAGAAAGCGATTCATAAATCCAAGTAACAAAGGTTTAAAGCTGAAAGACCTTATTAAATTTAACCAAGTAAAGAGATTTTTCTGTGAAGATTCTGATGAAGATGCTTGAATGAATATTCTCAAGAAGTGTATCAAAAAATCTGCATTGTTAAAGCTGACAAAAAAAGAAGACAAAGTTATCAGGAAGAAGAGTTTCTGATTAACAAAGGCTGCTGAATTTATTGCAAAGAGAACCTTGTATATCTCAAGGCTAACAGAAGGAAAAGACACAATATCTGTAGTTGAAATTCTTATGAAAAATGGACTTGACCCCAAGTATATAAAAAGATTGAAGAACTCTGCTATCGAAGAAACTGACTGATTTATGATCATTTTTCCACAAGAGTCAGACTGACAAACCTTTAAAGCCAAAATGGAGAATCATGAAGATTCCCTCTGAGATCTTGCTCACTGAGAAGTGTATACGAAAGAGCAATGGGACCAGTTGTTGCTGAAAACAAAAGATATGAGGAAAATGCTATCGAAAATGCAAACTAGCACCCAGTCTTCAGTATCTAAAGATAGATTTGCAAAAGAACTGTTTGTTTTCATTACTGGTATTCCGGAAGATATCCAAAAGTACACTCTAAGGAGCAGTATCGATTCTATACAGAAATGAAAATTTCTACATTATTCCGGAGATGGTGAAGCAAAGGTCCGCTTTGAGGATACCAAACAAGTAGAGTTGTTCTTATCTAAATGCAAGATTCCTGAAAAGAAGCATGACTTAAAGATCTTAGAACCCAGTAACGAATATTTCTTACCCCTAGATACCAGTAAAGGTCCCATAAACCTCAAGATATCCCGTCCAAATGAGGAAGAGTACGAATGTTATTTACTTGAGATCCAAAACTCTGTGAACAGCTTTCAAGAATACAAGAAGAAATGTGCTGAGAAGAAGGTGCCTACCTACACCAAGTTCATCTTCAGGAAGACAATCAAGAGAAGGAAAATGTAATTCTTTTACTTTCAGATCCCTTTATCCTATCTTCAATTACTAATCCATCATCCCAATCCTCCCATTCAAGCTCCCAAATTCCCTTAAACCTCTCTAAAACAAACCATTCAGCTCCTTCATAACCCGAATTTCTATTAACCAATGGTCAACATTTCCCATTGTGCAAGGGGTTTTGGGGTTTTGGGGTTTTGGGGTTTTGGGG